CTTAATATCTTAAGAACTGTTGCAAATAGGGACATGCAACTCGTGCTATAATTTTGTTGTCTGACAAGATATACATGTATAATGTATGACCAAAATATTAAGTCATCATGTACAGTATGGTGTTTTTTTCATTAAATACTCGTGTAGATGTAGATGTTCTACCATAGCTACTTGGAACCATCCTGTTCATTACTTGCAGAACATTTTTGAACGCTGTATTTGCTCTATTAAAAGCTCATGTGCTTACTGTAAATATATTTTTACGATAATAACAAGTCTATAGTCAAAATATGTATTTCATTGATTTTGAATGCAATAACACACAATTTTTGCCTTATGCATGTTGAAGATGTGCTTCTAATATAGTAAATACAGTATTCCTTATTTTGTACTTCGTGCTTCCAATACCTTCAGACACGATGAGTTCTTTCTAAAATTTCTTGATTACTGACTTGTTTTCCCATCATATTCCTAGGTACATGGTTCACTACAGTCAACAAAGTATAATTTTCCAGCTCCTAGATCTGTCTTTGGTAAGATTCCAGGACGACTGTGCATTCCTCTTAAATACATTGTTGATGCAGAAACACTGATTGATGAGGGGTGAGTGACAGATTTCCTTTTTCTTCCCTGAAAAAAACATTTTAGTCTGTATGTACATCCCTAAAATCCTCTTTTTGGTTTTGGCTGCACAATACATTACCACTACATTATGCCACACTGTGCATAGAATTCCTTATAGTGATAGGCTGACAGATGTATTTTGAAAATTCATAGCTAAGCACATCATGCTGTTTTAAATATCTTGCATTGCATATTAAATGTAATTTATGAAATTACTGCATTATTCTTTGGTAAAAACCATTTCCCCATGCATCTCATGATGAAATTCTCATTAAATATTTATCAAAACAACACATTTTCATGATCATATTTAATCAACATAATGCTGTCATACATGTCCGGATAATATTGTTTTGTTTGCACTCCTTAGGCAAAATAAAATAAATTTTGTGTTTTCATTTTTGGGGGGAATATAGAATTTATTTCTATGCAAATTAGCAATAGTCATTCTACCAATGTATTTTTTAATTTTTATTCTCTATGTTTAATGACTAGCACTTAATTGTATCAAAAATATATATTCAGAAAACTTAACTTAGATTTTATTTTTTGTGTGGGTAGTTAAACCATGATTTGTTCAACTTCTCAGAATGAGTAAACTCATTGGGAGAAAAAAAAAAAAATAAGATCAATATCTCTGTCTAACTACCAAGTATTTTTAGACCATTTACAGAAACACACAATTAGTTTTATTATATTGAGGCGTACATGTAACAGACTGTGACAAAGAGTCTGAAGTCTCTCATAGCACACAACATAAAATCACAGAAGCATAGTGACAATTGACTTGAGACATTTTCATTAGAAATAAAATACATTGTGCAGTTAATGTGTATCATCTATTTATTTGATCTGCTGTTGATTTGATAGACTATGAATATGATCCAATTAAACATCTGTATTGCCTTAAGCATGCTGCTGTAATTGTATGCCATGTTCCCTGTTCACTCCGGGGAAATATGCACAATAAGTATTTTAATAATATATCAAGTGTTGTTAACTTTTATGCAGAAGTGACTTTATTGTAGAAAATTTTAATTTATCACCATTACAGTGTCCATTGTTTTTGAAAATTGTAATTTTCTTCATTAAATAAAATTCAAGTCATACATGTACATACGTAGCAAGGTACAAGATTAGAAAACAGTGTGCAATGTTCTAACATGCAATCTTGCTCCATTTTTACTTTGTGTAACTTTACATACCGTTTTTGCTCTATTAGTAGTGCATGCACCTATATGTAAATGTTTCTATGGTCAAAATAATTAATATTTTAATATATGTAATTCTACTACAAACTTAATTTTATATGCATTTCTATGGAAGACGTGCTTCTAATAGAGCAAATACAATACTATTTTCAATTAGAATGCACCAGATTTTTTTTAGATTTTTTTTTTTCTGTGTTTTTATATTTTAGACATGTGTTTCTAGGCTTTACTAAAGATGGTCAGTTTATTTTGTCCTATACGCTACGAGTTGAAGCTAACGAACACACCGCGTTACCTGTCTATGTCTACAGATTATATTGGTGGTTATTTAAATATTACCAACCGATGGTTAAGGTATGTATTCTCTGGTATATTGATTTAATGATGCCACCAGCTAACTAGTGAAAATTTTAAATGCATTACAATTTCTTGATGGTTTATTAAACAAAAGGTTTCACAGCCCTCTACATTGTGAGCTGTGGCTCACCAAATGCGAACAAATAAATGCCATGGCGAAAGAATAAATGAAGCAGGAGCAAAGCAGCAAACATGAAAAAATTATCATATTTCAAAAATACCTTAGATTTAGGGCACACAGTGTACAGCTTCTAATATCTCAGCCTATTTTAACAAGTACCGTAGAAATATAAAGGTGACAGGACAAAGTTGTCCTGCCACCAATTCATTGGAAAAAAAGTAATATCATTGGTGACATAGTAATCAGGAGATAAAACGCTGTCCTGTGGAATAGATTTTTCAGCTTCTGATTTGTCAACCAATGTAATTTTATTTTGCACTTCATATCTATCTCTACGTTCAAATATAAAATAAAACATTTTTTGTTTAGAAAATAAGTTTGTTTGAAGTAAGATAAACTTCATTTCTAAACAAAATAAATACTGTGTATGATAAAGTAGAAAAAGCTGAATAAGGGTATACTTTGACACAAAATACAGTGAAAACCAAAAGTTGAAAAAATCTGCTCCACATGAGCAAGTGAAATAAATGCCTGTTACATAACCACTGACTAGAAAAACTTTTGGCTTTGTAGCAAATAGTGAAGAAATATAAGATGATTTTATTTAACAACTTTTCCTTACTTAGAATTTGGTAGATTTTTGATACAGATAATTTGTTTTGAATAATACATGTATTTGTGACCTGTTATCGTAAAGTAACTTTTTGTTGCAATTAAAGATTTAAGTCATGTTCATTATATTTTCATTATTTTGACTTCATACATGTACCATCAGATTACTGAAAATGAAAACAAAAATTGGCTCATCGAATGTCATAGTAAATGGTCAAAATTGTAATTTTTACTCAGTTTTCTTTGTCAAAGTGGAATCTGGGGGAGGCAAACATTTATAGTGTAATTTGTTTAAATCTAGAGTCATTTACTATTGTGAACCTGGTTGGCTATGGTTATACGACACTCAATTGCTATCATATCATTATGATAGGAAGATGGTCACACAATCATGTCACATAATCCCAAACATAGAATATTGTTTCTGCACATATTGAGGAATTAATCATATTTTACTTCGGCCTTTCCGGTATTCTCAGAATTATCTCAAATATATTTATTTGCTTTTTAATTAATTTGTATTCTGTACGCCATAATATATTGATGTCTTTTCACAGGTGTCTGAAGTTAGATTGTTTGGCGAAGAAGAGATACAGGATGATCTGTATATAGCAGTGTGTAGCTGGCCAACCGATGCTTCCAAAGTCTTTGTCTATGGCAGGTAAAGTGCTGCCAATTATATGAAGATTGTAAAATCTTTCTACCCCAATTTCACCAGAATTTTGTAAAATAAGTCCCACCTTGGGTCATTCTGATAAAAAAAATTGAACTATATTTCACTTTAAATTTCACTTTCAAGCAAAGATATGTGTAAATTTTATGTCCCAATTGACTTGAAATTCAAGGGGTATTGATGCAACAATCATCATGTTTCACTAGATTCACTGTCATTTCTTACTTGTGTATGCCTTTCTAATGTAACATTTCAGGAATGTACGTCAATAATAAAAAATCAGATCTTACAATGATAATAATAATTTTGGTGACTTCCGTAGTTCAATTGGCAATGTGTTCCAATGCCGTGGTGCAGCACATGAGAAAGAATGTTTGCCGAATGATTCTGATTTATATTTTGGTTCATGTAAGAGCTCTGTATTTGTTGAACCGAGTTCGCGAGGTGAAGATCTAAAGTGAATTAAGTCTGATATATATTTAGGTGACATGTCATTCAGTGCGTTTAGTAGCATCTTGTATTCAATTCATGGGTAGCCAATGCAAATATACTATGCAAATAATGAATGGTTTCAATAAGTATAGATAATGTGATTATATTACAGTTGTCCTTCAGGAGGTAACTGTGATGAGAAGAGACAGTGCTATGTTACAATCACAGCTGTACCTCCAACTTCACCATGTAAAGAATGTATAAACTTTCAAACTGCCATGAAGAGTCAAAATAACAACATTTACAATGATGGTAGGTTATACCAAATTATATACTTTACATGTTTTATTTCAAGGTGCAAATTGAATTATTTCCTGATTTAGCCCAGGATTTTTTTACTTTCCATCATGTTACTAGTGATTCATGCAGACATGACCCAGTTAGTGAAATATCAATGTTGTTTGCCAATTCTATCCATACTTTGAGTTTCAAAATAATGCATTTTTAGATTTGCTTCTGTGAACTCACCTGGCAACACATTGTGTTTGTGTGGTTCGTCCAACATGCAGACATCATTAAAGTGGAATGTTGGTGCTACATTTGTATTTCATGAACTGAGTACTGTATTGCGAATTCTTCCATTTCCTGTTACCAGCTCACTTCCAATCAGCTTGGTGTACTAGAATATGGGAGATGACAATATTTTTTGAGCTTATAATATTCATTTATTTTTCAGAAATATTTGACAGTGATACCCGGCCATCAAGATGTCTGAAACACGGCTTTGTTGTTCATACCAAATATGAACTTTCGCCGCCATTTCCTCTGTTTGCACCAAAATACAGTCTAAAGCGAGATGGACTAGCTGTCATCAACACTGGATACTCTCTCATTGCTCTGGGTGTAAAAGTATACTGTGGTAGTGCTGCTACCAGTACACAGAGTAGTCTGTACTCTACAAATAACACTGCAACAAATACACAGACCTCTACTGACAGTGAAAAACACTCCTTCAGTTCACAGGGTTATATAAGCAGTCCAGAAGCTACGCTGCATGGACTGAAAAGTTATCAAGACCGTCTTTCTACAATTGTGCAAGGTGTTAGAAATACTGCTGTCGGTATGGAACAGTGGGATGCAAACACCGGTGCTTTTGTAACTATGCAAGCTTGTCAAGATACGCACACTGCTAAAGAACAGCCTTCATTAAGCGGCCTTCCAATTTTAAGTCAGTCTCAGGAATCTACTTACAATCAGGAGTACAGTATTTCCACGAGTGATACCAAAGCCACCTCACACAGCCTTTTTGATGCTAAAGATTGTATGCAGAGTACATGTGCTAATCGAGGTTTCAAAAGAAATGACAATAATATTGCTCAGATGACATGCAAAGTGACAGAGGAAGGAGAGAAAAAGATGGTACAGATACATAGTGATCTTGTCAATGAGGAAACCTCTGATGCGCATTTGAATGAAAATGAAGAGATTTTCAGTAGTTTGTTGACTGAGGTGAAATATTCTATGGTGGCATCCACATCTCAGGGCTCCCAAATTGATGACAGTGATGCTACAAACTTATCCTCAATCAGTGATAAAGAGGAGGTTTTCAATCAGGCGATGGAAAACTCGCCACGGGTGTCGCTTCATGATGACGATGAGGGTACTGTTGAAAAAGAAAACACAAATGCTAATAAGTATCGCAAATCATCAAGAAAACGGAAAAATGAACAAGTCAGAAACAGGGTGACCGTAGCAAGAAAGTTTGCCACTGTCATATGCAGTCAGGGCAGTGATCTTGGAGACTTTGACCTGACTTCTCCTAATTTGTGTTCCCAAGATGATTCAAGGAATTTATTATGTGACAGTTGGAACCACAAAACCCATGACAAAACTGATCAAAAGTCTATGAAGAGCATGCCAGAAGGGATTCCAGTAGAAAGAGAGTGTGTTTTAGGGGAGGACAATTTTGGCTGTGAGATTGACCAGAGTTGTCCCATACATGGTGCTACTACAATTAATTTATCATGGAGTATTAACAGTGTTAGCGATCTAGAGAAATGTACTTGTCAACAGAGAGGTTTTAATTACTCTGTACGCAGATATGTAGATTGTGTACCAGAAACTGATTCACCACTTGACATTGAAGGTAATTTTCCTGATTTCTTCTTTTCTTCAGGGCATTATTAAAAAAAATGAATAGGAATCGCATTTGTGATATAAAAAAATACTACTTATAATGTAAAACTCTCTCAAAATACCAACACAATCCTTACTACTTTCAACTTTGAAACGGCTATGACATTACCGGTAGTTTTGCAAAAGATGCATATACATGTACTGTAAAATACTTTATTTATTAATTTAATTAATTTTTGCTGATTTTTTACGAGTTGAATGTAAAATATAGGAAAAAAAAGTATATTCGCTGGATTTTATTTTCACTGAATCATTCCTTCAGCAAAAATAGCGAAAATTAGTTCCAAGCGAAAATAAAGTATTTTACAGTAATCATATTTTTTCTACGTTATTAGATGAGTTTCATAGTATGTTACCATTGGAGGTTCACGGTGCTAATCACTCACTGATGACAAGGACTAGAAGATCACCGGATATTCAGGTATTTATCATGAAATTTCAAGCTTTTTATCTTTTTATATAGAATAGGTAGTTGTCTCAGTGTCATTAATTTTTTTCCTATTGTAAGTTTGTGTAGCATATACATGTGTTTATGGTTACAGTATGTAAACATTGAACTTTTCAAACAAATTTTGTTTTTCATCCTACTCATTGATTTCATTTGGTACCACAATTTTGGCTCAGGATTGCATTGATTGCATTTTCAGAACACGCTGCTGGTGGCATAAAATAAAAAAAAAATTCAAATAAAAATTAACAGTCTACATTATCACATCTCACTGCTGTTACGCATGCTGTGATTGGTTGAGACTCGGCCACATGTCATTGAATAAAAATAGATATTACATGGTATATTGCCCACCAAGTGGATATTACATGGGTACTAAAACCACTGCACAATGATACTGCACGTAACAAATTGTTGTTCGCTACACTGGTGCTGCCCTGTTTTGAAGGAACTTTAGCCATCCGAAATAAACAGCGAACGTGCCAGAATTGATTTTAAGTAAGATATTCTGTTTTGATGTTTAGGCTATTCTTTATATGAAGCAAAAATGTATGACAAAGCCGCCACTGAAATTTTGCAGCCATGATGACTGCGGCGCAAATGATAACTGAAAATGCTTTAAGTTGTGTGACTCGTGAATAAGTATCGCAGTATAAGTTCGTGAGAAAGTAATTTCAGTTTTTTCCACAGCACTCTGACATTTTTATCTGGCAAAAGTTATTTCTCAATTCATTTCAAAAATGTTATACATATACTTGATAAATTGAGTGATTCCCACTGCTGAAACACTTTTACTAAAAAGAATATCTGTGGCTGAAAATAACATTTAATCTATGTTATTCACAGTTTTTTCAGCAAACAATGTATGTCTGCTATTGAGTAATGTGAAACTTGTTATAATACATAAAATAAAATATTGCATACTTCAAATATAAGTGTTGTTATTTTGTGGGAGAGCGGGTGTGAGTGATGCATGGTAGATGTGATTGTGCATGGTGGATGTCTGCTCAATGTTATAAAATTAACACATGGCCATTCAAGCAATATCACAATTTGTTGTCTGTCCTCAGGCTGTTGGTCATGACCATAATATTGATATTGTAATAATATCAATATTATGGTCACCATCCCTTGGGCAGTCAACAAATCGTGATATTAACCTCACAAACATGTGTTATTATTTAACTATGTCCATGAGAAAATTTCTTGCTATTGCAGTCTACCCATTAAATATTACATGCAGTGTACTTAGTTTTGTTGATAATTTTCATGAAAAAATTAAATGAATTAACCTAAAGCTTACTTGATAAAATGTATTATGCTACTCCCACTTATGTTTATTATTGGGTTTGTATAATATTGTATGCAGTGTTCTCTTTAGAATGTACATTATACTGCAAATTTATAGCACCAGCTTGTCTTAGTTCGAATGATTGGATTCAGATTAATGGCATACACATTTTTACTTCTATAGGGGCAGTACATTGAAGTGAAACAACTCACAATGGATGCAGAACAATACATCAGTGAGACAGTCAGATCACATGCAAAATGGAAAGATAGATATTTGGATTTCACTGATTATGATATGCAAATTCTTGATGTAAGTATTGAGCTAGTTGCACTACACCAAGCTTTTCCCAGATCTACTTCTCTAATTCTATTCAAAATCCAGATTTGCAACTGCCCGATGTAGCAATGTAGTTGGTATAGTAAGAAAAATGTTTCAGTGTTTCTAGATACATGTTAATTTTGTTAAGAGATGCAGACGAAGAAAGATTTTTTGCCATTCCCCAAAAACAATTAACATGTGCGCTAGGATAAAAAATGCAAATTGTGTTTTCAGACCTGTATCTATAATATGATGATTACAACAACTCAAATAATTTGCGATAATAAAAATCTAAATGCATGAAATAATATACAAATTATTTTTTTGTTCATGTGCATTATTTGAATTTCACTGTTAAATTCAATGAATTTTGTTATTGAATAAAAACATGTATGGAAACATTTACCATGATTTGATCTATAATTGGCAAGTATAGTGAGAAATTGACTTCCTTGGCACTGTGACTGATAATTCCGATGAAGCTTAGCAGATACATGTAGTATGCAAATTTGATAAAAAATAACAATGAGACGTCTAGGTTGCAACTAATACAGGCATTCAAAAAACTAGGTTCATTTGTTTCTTCAAAATAATATAATACAAACTCATTTTTAGCTCCGCTGTCGACTTTGTCGAGCGGAGCTTATCATGTGAGTGATTGTCCGTCGTTGT